TATCTATCTATCTATCTATCTATCTATCTATCTATCTATCTATCTATGTATCTAGGTATCTATGTATGTATGTATGTATGTATCCATCCATCCATATACATACATCTACTTATCTAACTTTCCTTTATACATGGAAAGCCTCCATTTCTCTCCTTCTTTGTAAAATACTGCACCATAGAGGTCCATTGATGCAATTATTATCTAAAGTACAGAACTGACATTAGGGCACACATGTGATGCTATATGTTGTATACATTTTGACATGCATATAGAGAATGACTCCTTCTATTTTGTGGTCCTATCACAGAATGGCAAAGACTAGGTCATTTATAAGTGATAAAAATTCAGGTTTTAGTTCTGGAGGCGAGAACTTAAGGCCATGGAGACTGTCTCTGGTGACAGACTTCTTGCATGTCATCCATGTAAGATATGGAAAGGCAGGAGAGCCTGAGACACTGAAGCTAAATTTGCATCCCCGAGCCTTTTAACAGTTGCCATTATCTCCTTATGAGGATAGAACTATTTATGATCCAAAATATCTTGGTAGGAAGCTCACCACACTTTTGATGATTAGACTAACAGTGATTATTTTATTTGAAAAATAGTTATTTTTGTTTGCAGAATTCATATATTTGCATCCTTTCCACTCCTCTTTCTGCCCTCCTCAGGCCTGAAGCCTACTCCTATGGCTGGAGAGGTCAGAGGTTTTAGAGGGGAACAAACTCCTTTCATAGTACTAAAGTAATAAAGTTTCCCAATGGCCTTCTAAATAGTCATCCTTATGCTCATAGATAAGTAAAGCTTTTATATTTCATCAAAGCAGCTGTTTTTTTCTCTTTTCTTTTTACAGCCGTGATTAGATTTTTAATCTGTGTTTTGAGAGTAGACTCTTCAACTATGGCAGTGATGTAAATCTATATATTTTTGCATCATACAAAGCAGTTATACTGCTCTGAAAATCCTCCAAACTCTGGCTATTCACTCCCCACCTCCATCAACCTCGGAGCTGTTGGTTTTTCTACTGTCCCAATTGGTTCATCTTTTTCAAATGCAATGCAGTTGTAATCATGCAGTTTATAGCCCTTTAAGATGGCTGTTCATAACAAAGTCATGCTTACTCCATTCATTTCCAAGGATCCGTCACTCTTCCTTCCTCTCTTCTTAAGAGTATTCCATTGTAAAGGTGTACCATAATATATTATATCATGTACCTATTGAAGGATATGGGGGTTTGAATGATACTTGCCTCTATAAGCTTCATATATCTGAATACTTGGTCCCCATTTGGTGGAATTGTTTGGGAAGGATTAGGAGGTGTGGCCTTTTTGGAGGAGGTGTATTACTTGAGGTGGGCTTTGAGTGTCCAAGAGATTCATGCCAATCTTGATGTGCCTCTCTTTGTCTCCTACTTGTAGCTTGCCATGCCTTTGCTTTGCTATTATAGGCTTTAAGCCCTGAAGCCACAAAGACAATTAAATGCTTTCTTTTATAAGTTTTCTTGGTCATAGTG